TCTTTGACAATGGCAGCCACCTTTGAAAGCATTTCAAGATCTGTTCACCATTCCCTTACCAGCATTTCCCCATGATGAATTAAATTTAGTCTCAACATTTTTTTATTTTACTTCTTCTCTTAATGTATTTGACGTTAACCTTTTTGAGTAACTGACCGGATAAGAACTTATAAAGATCTATATAGAATAAAATATATTTTAAACCACACAACTGTCAACTATGCGCTCATGCCCAAAATACAAATTACGCAGTTGTATAGATTCCTGACTCAATAAATTTTTAAAAAATTGATTAGATATCCATCAGAAGATTATAGTGTTTTAAGAGTGCTTTGCATCACGTTGATGTATTGATTTAAAATATAAATCCACATTAATCTGAAGTAATTGACTATCTACATTAATAATAATGTTCAATTTTCATGAGGGAAGAGAATGGTTCTTGTGCCAAGACAAATGAAATTTATTACTTGTGACTACAGAGGTAGAGATGAAAATCATTATTAAAAAGTATAAAGAGGCTTTTGACAGAATATCTGTTAAAGTTGCTCTGGGTAACTCTGGAAGAAAAAAAATCCATTTATTAAAAAATTTACAAGAAAATGAGAACTTAAAAGGGCACTTTGATTGGCATCACAACCTAATTTACTTCTAATGTATTATAAAGATACTTCTTGGCTTCTTGTTCAATGTAACTGTACTATGTATTCTCCTCTGTATTTTTAAAAAACTTGCCACCAAGAGGTACTGTTTTAAACACAGCTGTCAAAATACTGAGCTAAAATTTCAAAACCTTTCAGCTGTCGGAAGATTATTGGTCATTTGTATGCTTAGAAACTCACAGGATTTAACTTTTTTCTTACTTTTTTTTTACTTTATTCCTATCTTTAAGGTTTTACCTCCACAAACAAAATTGTATGATATTAAATGGGTTATATYTGAAGAACAAATGCTGAATCTATCATGCCAGGATTTCATGCTGTTAATTAAATGTGGCCCCAATTCATAAAAGTGTTCTTCAGTGCTTTGCTGAGCAGGAATTTAAAGTCTTTTATTATTTAAGTTAATTTACTTCCGGCCCTAATTTTTAGTTCATATGTGTGTAAAATTCAAAATGTGTAAATTCTTCATAGAAGAATTGGATACTTCATACTTTTGTATTATGTTCCAAAATACACTTCCAAACTCCATCCATAAAACAGCATCTGCTTACTATTCTATGAAGAAGATGTGTGTATTTTCTATTGAAAGGAAAACATTGGATGGGACGTTGGCATGGTGTGGCACCATCTACCCCAATGACAGTCATGATTACATTTTGAAAATGATAAACCAGTATCAAGTCAATATAAACTTGAGGAATTTGAGCTTCAGTTAAATAAAATCAAGAATAAACTCTTTTACCTCCTTTCTTCCAAGAGAACACTATTGCTTTGTAAAACCAAGTAATTGCATCACACCATTAGAGACATCAGCCATATTTGGGTTTTAGTGCTCTTTACCAGAACTGATGAAATCTTGAGTCATTGTCTGAGCACCCAAATATCCTGGCATTGTTACAAGACTCTTAATGGGCTCCCCAAAAAATTCGGGAGAAAAGCAGTTCTGAAAGAACATTTTAACCTACTGATGTCTTGTACTACACGTATTTCTATGCTTTTGTTTTAAAATGTCTCAAGCTGCTGCTCAGTGAATAGCACCTCTGCCTGAAACACTGCTGTCTACTGCTTCAGAGAGTTTTCAGGACAACTTAACGATGCTCATGCTTCACTGCACAGAGATCTAYGTTTATTGGTATAGCTACAAAACCATTTGAAAAACTAGCCATAAGTAGGTACCAGATCATCTACAAATGTCAATGGGGAAAGAAATCTGAGAAAAGGAAATAATTAGTAACAACAGGGAGAAAAGGATGATCATTTAGAATTGGTTTTCTAAAGTCAGCTTTGGAAATTGCTCTGTACAGCTAGGTCACTAGCTGTAGAATGYTATTCACAATTTCTGGTTCGCAATCTAAAATTTCATCTATGATGTTAAAAATGGTCTGGAGACTCAAAGCTGTGAAAAATGTCTACAAATAATAAACTAATTGTTAACAGAGAAAGCTATCCCTGCCTGAAGCCTAAAAAGAAACAGTAGCTATTGAAAAGTAAAGCCTATTATTAATTCTAATTTTCAGACTACAGGGACTTCTTGTAGCTCTGAGAAATGTTGCATTTTCTTTCCCATTATTTCATTACATTGTCAAACAAAGAGCATTGAGAAAGATGCTTCCAGCAAACACTGTTTTGTAAGGCTTGTGAGAGAAAGATCAAATGCACGTCTTCTGGAGGGCTTCAGCATGCAGACCACAGTGAGTCCCACCTTTGGGATCAAGCCTCAAGTAATCAAGTTACATGCATATATTAATGCCCATTAGTAGATSCACAGGAGGAGAGGGACCCCTCATAAATATTGTTTTCTAAAGCTGGTGAATATATTTTTACCATGAAAGTGTGACTAAGAAACAATAAATATAAAGAGATTTATCYTTTTAGAACCTGCTACGACATCTGTGAAAGTTAATATCCTGGGTACAGCAAAGAAAAYTGTATTTGCACATGGGGAAAAATTGAAGGGGAAAGAGGGGAAAAAAGGTACAGAAGTAATTCAACAGAAAGGTCTAAGGCATTTCCCTACTTCTCCCTTTGCACACCACTCTGAGCCTGGGTTAGGAGTTGTATGGTTTTCACAACCATCTGTAATTCATCTCTCTGGACAGTTAYATATAAATCCCAGTTACCTTTGGAGGTAAATTTCTTCATGGCACTTGTAAATAGCAATGAGTTTGTTTTGTTCTGATTTATATAAACCCCTCATTCAGGGGTGTATTATCTGAGTAGAGATGGCTGGCTGGGATGTTGGTTGTCAATAAGAGTTGATCCCAGTCCATAGTTATTCTTGCTGTCTGTGTGAGTTATAGCCCAACTGTTGCCTTTCAGACTGGCAGGATTTGGATTTACTGTTACAGCGAAGGTGGATCTGAAATCTGCGATGTTGTAGCAGAGGATGGGTGAATAGATAATTGAAAGAAACAAGAGCAAAGATGAATTGCAAATTTTTTTATGTTTCCTGTTAAAACATTRCCCATTAAAGTCACCATTGCACCTTTCTACCTATATACTCAGAGAGGTTGATTAATGTAGCATTTGAGAATACAATAAAAGAATGCAGGAGAGTATTAATATATCAAACCTTAAAAGACTCTTGTGGAAACTTACAGTATGATCAAGCTCTGAAAAATGAAAATCTGATTCAAGAGAGATCAGATCTATGCACCGTCACTTCCATCACTTCCAAGATGCCACTGATGCCTCACTTGCCATCTGGGCAGTTTCTCTAGTACCAGCTGAATCTTTAACAGGGGAAAAACTGATGGAAAATTTTCCAGTGCTRAAACTATTTTTCTGAAGGAATTTTGGTGTGTACTTTTGTTATTTCAGAACTGAAAAAAATAATATTGAAGAATCTGAGATGCAACATGAGCTACGGACTGGCTGAGCCAAAATCAGCTTCCTAATGAGGACTCTGGCACTGAGTATGAGCACGGAAACCTCCAGCCATGGCACTACTAACACTGGTGGTGATGAACTGAAGCCTGGGGMATCAGCCTTGACAATTCTGCCAAARTCTGGCAGACAGAAAGGGATCATGAACTGCGAGCCACTTTGTACAGCAGTCTCATATTCAAGACATGGCCAGATCAGCAAAGCTGTGGGCAGGCACCTGGGTATCCGTGTGCCTCAGCTATCCTCTGCAAAGTCTCCATAAAACATTTTCCTGATATGCAGTTATCTTGATTTGGAAGTGAGCATCTTACTCTTTTTCTAAAATAAGACTTTCAAGGTAAGATATTAAATTTGTCCCTAAGCCCTGTACTCATAAAACCTGAAGCTTAGAGTAACTTTACCAAATCAGAGAGGAAAGTTAATTCTATAGATCTAAAAGTCTAAACTGTGTTTCCAAACACGAGACCAAAAGAAAGCATAAGAAATCCAAACCTTCTAGTTTCTTTTCAATCCTTTCCCACTCATCAACCCAACATGCTTAGTATCTACAGCAAAAGGTGATTCACCCTAAATCTACATTAACATTATTTTAACTTGATTCCATTTTGCCTCACATCATCAAAACACCAGGTAGAACTCTGTCACTAAATAATTCTACTTTTTTTTAAAAAATTCTCAGATTCTAAATCTTACCCTCACTTTAGCACTGTTTCATTCCAAGGTTAGATTCCTTTTTATGTTGCATTGAGACATTAAGAATGAACAACTCAGTAAGGATGAGTTTCTTAAGCTCACTTAAACTTACTTAAGCTTACTTAGCTTGAGGATAGGAATCAGAAGAGAATATCCAAAGTTCTACAAGCAGCCAGAAACTAAAGGGCAAACTCTAACATAGGCTACCATGGATACTGAAATTAGAAGGGCACCCACCTCCAGAAACTTTACCCACACACCCTGCAGAGTGGCAGAAACAACCAAAATACTGTAAACATAATTTCACATATGTAAACATTCTGGGACAGGTGTTCAGGCTGCATCTGCTCTGCCTTCTGACAGCTCCTCTGGAGGTGAGTTCATATTCTGTACAGAGTGGCATAAAGTAATTTTGTCCTTAATGCTTTTAATAGCCAAAAAGCTGTTACTGTGGGAACACTGGTGACAGCCATAAGGCTATCTAATTCCTTTATAAATTCTGCCAGTGCTTTCATCTACTGATAAAAACAATTACRTTGACAGCTCTCTTTTCTTTTGTAAAACGCCTCTAGTGTGATTGCGTCCTCGTTCTCTCCTCCCTCCGGCCGGGACACGGCCCGGACGGGCACCCTACGGCACGTCCGGGACTCCGCTCAGCCGGCGGCGGGGCTGTGCCGRTGCCGACCCCGCGACGGGAGCGTCCCGCTGGCACACGGAGAGCGGGCGGGGCGGGGCGGGGAAATCGGCGGCCCGGCCTCTCCCGGCGCCGGCGGCCGAAGCTTTAACGGCGGCTGCCCGGGGACGGGAGAGGGTGGCCGGGAGGGAGCGGGATCTGTGSCGGCCATGCCTCCACCGCGCCCCGCGGGGCACCGCAGCGGAGGCTGCGCCCCGGCCGCATGGGTCCGCGGGGCGCGGGGGGCCGGCGCCCGGCGCTGAGCGGTTCGCGGGTGCGATGTCTTCGCTGCTGAAGGAGGACCTGGAAAAGAAGCTGTTTGGCCCCCGGCGGCAGAGGCTGCACGAATTCATCGAGGTGGAGGGCGCGGGCGCCCAGCGCTACTACCTGTGCGCCGCAGGTACGGGGCACTCGCCGGGAAGGGCGCGGGCCGGGCTGCAGCGGCTCTGCCAGGACAGGCGGGAGCGGCTGGCTGCGAGGGGATGCGAGGGAGCGGGGCCGGAGCGGGACCGGAACGGGGTGGCTGCCCGCCCGTCCCGCCCCGCCGCTCCCCGGCAGGGCACGGAGCACAGCTCGCTGCTCCCGCACCGCCAGCAGCCCCCGGAACGGCTTCCTCTCCGATTTCTGATTCACACCGGCTCCAGTTTTGACACCAGCGGAGAAGCACAACTGACAGTGCACAGCCGTGACAGTGCTGTGAGCGCCTGAACTGCTCYGAAAAGAGCAAACCCTTACTATAGTTCTAATCAGGTTTTCCATTAAAAAGCGTAACAATACATTAACATTACGGGAAACGTTTGTAATTTTTTGGCACTCTCCCTCTTCTTGGTCTAATGTCTTGCGTATAGTTCCTATCACATTTTGAACRGCAAATTAGACTTGTGGTTTAAATACACATTGGACTTCGTAATTAGCACAAACTTCGAGTAAAACAAGATTGCTGTGAGTGGTAATTATCTTGCTATTTACTAAATTTCTTTTCAAGTGAATTGTCTGTTTCACARAGGTTTAGAACAAGGTTTCAGAAAAGCTGGTTTGTTGGGTTTTCTTGTTTGTGTGGGGGTTTTAAATTATTTCGGAACACTGAAAGATAATAAAAAGGAGAAATGCCATCTGTAAGTAGTTAGGTTGAAGTGAATGTTCTTCCAGCCTGTTTCCTCCTCAGGTCCAAAACACATAGAACRGGTAGAAATAATCTGTGTGCTTGAGACATGGATCCATCTGGCATCCAGTATTCTGTGTTCATATCTTTCTAAACATCTGAAATCTTTAGAAYACATGAGCTGTTTTACAGATTATTAGAAACCCTGCACTCCGATAATTTTGGCAGAACAGGCTTTGTATTTTAAAACTTAAAACTTCCAGTGTTAAGAAATTAATTTCTGAATATTATAGAGCTTCTAAACATATAAAAAGAGCAATGCCATTCACAGTTTATGAAACTACCTYGAAATATGATTAGTTGTATGTAGTAGATCTATAACCACTATTGTGAAACATCCAAAAAAGGAGAAATAACATTATGCACCTTTAAAATCTTTACTAAAAATTTGTCTTTCAGGTAGAGGGGAACAAGCAATTGAAGAAAGCCTCTAATMAGGTTAAATGATTGGAAGTCTTTAAAGACATAAAGGAAAATTCACRTAGAGTATTAAGAGTAGGATCTCTCCACTATCCCATATTAAACTCTCTTAATATATTCAGGTACAGTCAAGTAAGTGGTRAGTAGAGTGGAAATCTGATTCTGAAAGATGGGTTGCATCCAGCTGCCAGCAACTGCTGTGTTCTGCTGTGATTCTGTAGGAGCAAAGCACATTATCTAAAATCTTATCCCTGAAATGCAACCTCTGTGTATTTCTGCTGATTTCAAATTACCATAACAAAAAAAAAAAAAAATCTGTCAAACTATATGCAAAACTTCAGAGATCTATGCTTTTTGAAATCTGTATTACAACAAAATCCTGGTATGGGTAACTGAACAATCTCATTTTTGTGCCATATGGCCAACACTATTTCCTTTCCTTTTCACAATAGCAAGTCCCAGTTCTTGCATGAAGGGAATACTATYCTTTCACAAAACAGTTGATAAACCCTGGAAGAATGTAAAACTGAAATGCAATGCCATTCAGGAGTTTCCACAACCCAGTACTGGAATGCCCAAGAAAGAATGGTGGGGTTAACATTTTATTTTCCTAAAGAGACTCTGAAAAAGGTGTTTAGTCCAATGAAGATGTTAAAAAATAGTTTATGCTCTAWGAAGGTATTGCCATAGCTGTGCCCTCCTCATGTAGAGCTTTTGGAGCTTAATTGAATGACATAGTAGATCTGAGCTCATGCCCTATTTAAAAAAAAAAACCAATTTTTTTCTTTGACTTTCTTGAGTGCAAGATGAAACAGTATGTAAAATACAGATTTTTTTTTTTTTAACTGAAAGTAGCAAACCCAAGTTTTAGCACTGGGCAGGACACACTCTGGTTTCATTATGCCTAACATCTGTGCTCTGTCCTTGTGTCATGGTATTTCTGTTTTCTSACAGGTAGAACAGTGGCAGTGTGGAGACCCAGCTTCCCCCAGGACATCCCTTTGTATTTTTGAGAGGACTCGGAGCTTGGGCTTACTTCCTTTTTTTTTTTTAACTCTGAGGGAGAATACATATTCCCCTACAAGCTAGCAAACCAATAAACAAAATGGGTGAAGCAGAAAGTATGAACAGAGCTTCCTAAGATTAATCTATTASATTCACTTGCAAATGAAAACTATTGTAATTTCTCCATGGAAGATAACACAGTGGTGGTCTTCTGGTTAAAAATGATTGAGGAACTATGATTGATAGGACCAGGGGAAAAAAAAAATATTTGTATTTCCCAGGTGGGGAAGCTATAGACTGAGAGAAATTATGATCAATTTATATCTTTTCCACTGTTTTTCTTTGCAATGGAAAGAAGGCACATCTCCAACATACATACTCTATTGTTATTTAGTAACCATTTTCCTATAATCAGATGAGGAATAAGAGATGTTTTAACAGAAGGAAGGTAAAACTAATGAAGTTTCAAAATGGGATGTTGAAAATTTAGGCAGTATTTAGAAATAAAAGAATTTTGCTCCTGTGTTTCTAGCCTTCTGTTATGGTGTCAAAATGCTCCTGCCAGATGTAAGTGACTTCTTGATGATAACTTAGGCTACCAGATAACTTGGGAATGTGTCCTGCCCTGCAGCCATCAGTGGCTGGATGTGCTGGAGATTGTTCAGGCACTGGTGCCTTTCACACTCAGTCTGTTACAGAAAACCAGTCTCCTACTCAGCACTCAAGGTAATCAATTAATAATRGTAGTTACTGCAAAGAGCATCTTCATGCTTTTTTAAATCTTGTTTCCTGCCTAAGTTGGAAAAGAGTAATTTCTATGAATTTAGCAGTGAACAACTGGAAGCTTTAAGGAAAGTTTYCAGTGTTAATTTTGTTAAGTAGCTAATTATGTATTATATAGGGAAATAAGAATTTTGCTTTAAAAAAAGTAATGGCTTCWTAAAAGAACTTCCTTCACAGAATGGAAAGTATAGCACAAGTCATGTAAATACAGAAGCTTGGTAGAAGTTTTGCAGTTTTCTAACTGCAGCACCCCAAAAATGCTCCCTTCTTGAAGTAAGTAGGATAATGCAGAAAAAATGCCAGAATTAGGCTTTCATTGCACTGCTAGTGAATTCCCATGAAAGRCTTTTGAACAGACAAGGCTCTCTCYTCACAGATTTGGTAAGGTAAATCCCAAATCTACTAAAACCTGACTGGTTTCATAGACTGAGAACATAGCACTGTTCCTATTACCTGGGCAAAATMAAATTATTAAGTCTGGTGTAACCCTATAGCAGCCCTTCCTATCATGGTTTAAGTTATTATCCAAAGTGTAGTGTGATTAAGTCTYCCATTATCAGAACTTTGGGAAGTACTTGATGGCATATCTAAACTATTTTTTTCTTGCAGTAACTAAAAATAAAGAAGTAGAAATATGTATGGTTAAACACTGGCGAGTTGACCGAGAGGAAAAATATGAAATAGTTGAAAAGTGGTTTTTGAAAGATCTGGAGATGATTGATGGAAAAGAAGCAGATGCTGTAAGTGTAATRTTTTGTATTATATACATAGAGTATAATTTTCTTGTTTTGCTAATTGGTATAAAAGTATCAAAATGTAATTGAAATGCGTTATCTGAAAAGTAATGTTACCAAGGAACTTGAGCTTTATTGAATGTAAACAGCTCTTCATCCCATTTGCACTGTTGCAGGGGAAGAGGAAGGAGAGATTTTTATTTATTATAATAGCCTTCATCTCTCAGCTATTTATTATAATATCTGTCTGTTTTCTTATTTGTTCATCATCACTGGTAATAAAATTTCTCCATCTGTGGCTTCCAGTGTAAACTGCAGTTAATCCAATAGATTTTAAAGTGTATTTGAAAACAAAATTTCATTTAAAATCTTWATGGAAACTGTGACCATTAGAATGTATAAATCTGTTCTCTTTGTGACAAAGTTAATGTGTAACATATYGCACAAGTCATGATAGCTCATGAAAATGTGTCTTTCAAAAGCTTAGTCTCATGTTACTTGTATCAATTCAGTATCTGTCTATTTGTGTGAGTAAATATGAAACAGCTTTGGCTACATCTGGCTGACCTCGCTGCTAAAAAAGTCCTGATCTCTCAGATAWAATTTCAGAAGGGTAAAATGTAGTGCAATATAGAACACCAAAACTAGATTAAATCCTATTCTACGAAAGCTAGAAGAATATGCTTAGGATAAAATCTTACTGCATATATGAGTTGTCCATGTATAATAAATGTAGTCCAGAAAAAATGTACTTTTTTTCCCTTTGAAAGTGTTTTCACTAGCACATGTAATCTGGATTCTATTTTATCTTCACTTGAAAGAAAAAACAAGAGGCCATGAGAAATGTTTCAAAACCGTGTTCCAAGGAAAATGACAAACTGGGGTTGTTCTTGCTCTGTTACATGTCCATCACCCTCAAGGTTAAATTAGGAATGTCAGAGACAGGGGGTGAACTCAGCTTCACCCTTGAGCTCTTAGCTCTTTAGGGTAGAGGGGGACAAAAAACCAATAATCCCTTACATCCCCTCTCCAAGTTAACTAGCTTCTGGAGATGTCCCTATCTCTTCTCCAGCCAAGGCAGCCAGAAGATTTCCTTATCACTTGCTGCATAAATTTAACTTTCTTCTGGAGTGTTGTGCTAAAATATTGTTCAAAAATTATTCAGCCTTTCACAACTGGGATGATAAAAAYCTGTCTCATTTTTGGTTAAAGAAAAGCCTAAATGAACCTCAAACTCATGGGATAATTAACACTGCTATAAATATTCATAATAGATGTTYGTATACACAGAATTTGAAAGAATTTAGCTGCTGCTAGGATTAATTGTGTCAAAGAGCCAGAAAGTACTAAGAAATACAACTAAGGCAGGAAAGGCAATCAGTATTCTTCTGACAGACATAGTTACATCCAAGGCATATGCTTTTCCTACRATGTGTTCTAGGCAAGATGATAAATTGATTCAGTTCAAAACAGGACTGTACAATCCCAATAAAGTAGGGTGCATTGCTTGATCAAAGTTTTACTCAAAAAAATTCCATGCTGCTACTTTTTAAAGTTTTAAAAGTCCCTTTAAGATGAATAGCAGAAATATGCAGAGTCCTTTAGAGCCCATTGTCTTGAGAAAAAGCCCTGCACGTGGCTGGGCAGAGAACAACATATTGCTATTCAAACACTATGATGCACATAGTCATTTCATTCTCTCTCAATTTCTTTTTAGGACAATCCACATTTTGAAATGCATTTCCACAAAGTCTACAATATGGAAGCATATAGTTGTGCATCTAAATACACATTTGCTCGAACACTAAAGAGACTGAATGCAATGTACCTTAAGAAGGACTTCAAGATTGTGAACTTCGATGACACCTACCTGAACGACGATTCAATCTGGTCATCCAGCAATAGGGATTTCTTAGTACTTATGAGGATTTGCTTCTATGCTTCCAACCTTTTATGTCTCTCCCTCTGCCGACTGTCCTAAAGATGAATTTTCTAACATTAAGGTGACTGGTTGACTTTCACTGACCAGCATTTCATAAACCATCTGATCAAAAAGTTAGTAAATGATGTGGAGTGTCTCTTTTTAAATTTTACATGTAAATAAGRAGTGGAGCACACTTTTCACATAAACAATTGATAATTCCTTTATATATATTAGGAGGTCCTGACTCTTGCCAATACTTTTACGTAAAAAGACTGGAAATGCAGAACCAGTAACTCTCATGCTCAGTGGTAACTGCTTATGTAAGTAGAGTTTAGCACTTGCTTATATTTTCATGSAGGTATAAATTATCTTTCATTAATAGCTGGAAATACTTTTACAGCATTAAGAGCATTAACAGTTGGTTYATATCCTGGAAGTAGAAAAAAAGAAAGTAACCAGTTGAATTCTGGAAATGATGCACATTTCCATGTCCAAATGTGTTAAAACACAGAACTCCATTAAAGAGATCACACCCATATCCCTACAAGAATCTAACTCTCATCCTGATGGAGTATTGCATTCAGGTACCATGGGACCAACTCTTCACCTATGCAGCTATATAATTTTTCCCATAGAACATTTAGTACTCCCTTTGGCCTTCATATTATTTGCGGTACTGTCTTAGAAAATAAATGTTCTTAAGCAGCATAACTTCATCAGTCAGAACTTTTGGAACTTTAATATCTCCTCCCTTGAGCTTCATTGCTTATGAACAGGCATGGTTAGGGAACARAAATSATTTTTGTCTGTCTCTGAATCAARATATAAGAAAATACTATGTAAACAGTAGTTGTTGGCCACTACAGCTACTTKGTAAGTAAGTGACAGACTTTTCAAAATTCATAGAATTATGAGAATTATTTTCACCAGTTTCTAGCTAAGTGTTAGCATATTCAGTGCASTATTTAGAGGCACATTAGTACTTAGAGCTACATTTACCATGGGATGGAGTCTAGCCTTCGTGGTTTGGAACRTCTCGCAAAAACTAACAGCTGGACTTATGATAGTGGGATACTACACTAGAAACAGAGGATTGCAGCTGTATTGAACAGAAGCTGAAGAGGAACAATGTTAATTACAAGAAGCACAGTGTTCCTGTGAAATGYCAGTCAGCTAAGTTAGTTGACTGTTCATATCAAAATCAATAAAGAAATGCCAGCCTAAATTAAGTTTTGTTCAGAGAAGCCTCTGGTCAGAAAGGCCTGCAGGAGAAAATTCGTTTTTTCTTTTGGCAGCCAAGAGAGTACAGGAAGGTGGGCTGTGGACTAAACTGGGTGTGGACCCAAAGCTGGCTGATGTCAGCTCCTAGAAAATCACAGGCTGGTTCATGGCCTCTCTGAGCACCTGCCATCTCTAAAATGAGGTAGTTGTGCAAGGGTGCTAGATCTCATCCTTTGCTCTTGTCTTTCACATGAACTCCTACCTTTGTAAAACATTTGTTTTTTACATTTGTGTAAATGTACTTTGGATTCAAAACTGAAGTAACACCAAATAAGTGAGAATATAKTTGAAAAACTGCAAAATGTACCTATTGTGTGTTTATAGGAAAGCCCRTATATTTGATAGGCCAATCTTCAGATTTTAGATATTTATTCTAGGCATATGTTGCAAATTACATTCATTCTAACACACGTCTTAGTAATTATGTATGTGATGACGGTTGTGAGGACAGTTGATGTGGATAACACAAATCCTCTGGAATTTATAAGTACTTAAGTCTTAAATTTGCCACCTAAATACTGCTAGAGAGAAGGATTGTGATTTTAGTGATTGCACAATGCAGTTGCTCTTTTGGGAATGTCTTTCCAGGGCAAGTAGGTGTGTTGTGATGTATCGTTATTAGCTACAGGAAGTATTTGTCCAACATCCAGGTTCCACAAAACCATCTTATACAGCAAGTATAATTCATGCTACTGCTATCTATGATACATTATCTCATTTGAAYTGTGTATTGATTGTTGAGGTCACGATGTTTTCCATAATGTTTACAAATTCTTTGCTTGATAGGCACAAGGAAATATTTTATAGGTCAAAAAGCTTCCATCATTCATCTTGTAATTGTAATAAAAACATAGAACTCTAAAAATGAGTACTTCAGAGCATTCTTTTGAAATAAAGTACATGTATACTGAATTCTTTCCCAATAATTGTCTGTATTGTGTTAGAAACTGATGATAGCTTAAAAATTACCATAATGTCCAACCACATTTAATGAACTTTCATCAGTACTTTATATATTTTTAGTCTTGTACTATATAAACATTTAATTGACTATATCAGAAGACAAACAAATCTACATTTTATCTGGAAGAATATGCAATCAAAATCTCTCTGGCATTTCTTCTGTCTGATAACACAGTATTTCAGATATTCTTCACTAAGCATTTAAACTGAACAAAAGGAATGGGGAATAAAAAGGACATAGTTTCAGTTACTATCAAGAGGAAAAGTACTTTAAAAGATCTTTACGGACCTTATCTAGAGACTCCTTACTTTCACACTGTTCTCCATAAGATGTCARCTACCAAAACACAGTGTAATTGCCYGATAGTGCTACAGAAAGTCTGAGGTGTGGGACATTGTCACTTTGTGGCAAGCATAGCACAGCTGCACCACAGGACAGAGAGAATATGCTAAATTATAAACTGAAAAGACTCAACAGGCTAAATAGCCCATCCTTCAGTTAATGTGGAATTATTTCCTACATCACATTTCCTGACCTTGGATAAATGGAATGTAGTTTGAAATACAGTATCTGAGGATTCATCTAGTTTTGCTGGAAGAATTATCCAAAACTGACTACGAAGAAACTTACAGGAATAAAGGATTAACACAAATGCAACTGTAGCATTCCTATAAAAGGTTTCAATTACATGATGGAGTGAATTAATACCTGAGAATGGGGATATAATGCAGATTTTCTTCAGAAGACAGGAATAKCTATTAGCTATGTCTGTTCCAGAGAGCAGAAAATACATGGCAACCTGAAAATGAAGAAGAGTGATCTCAAGCAAACAGAAATTYATGCTCACGTAAGGTGCAGAAAGAGAACAGAGGATGTCATAAAAGACAGGTGATTTTTTTCTACATATATTTTTTTGAATACTTCAACCAACATCAGAATTAAGAATACAGGGAACTCTGYGACAATAGAATTTATTTAAAGTTTATTTATTTAAACCAGAAATACTTCTCTCCTGTGTATTTATTTTTCATGGATAACTATTCTTTTCCTGCATCTTCAATTAAGCAAATACAGATTAGTGCAGATTTTCAAAAATAATTTTGGAAGTGAAACAGAGCAGGGAGCCTGTTCTGGACTGTGCCTTCTAGGTTATTTCTCATACTTCTTKTCCTTTGTATTTTGTAGTCATACATATATTAACATCGCTCTTTCCAATGCAAGCCTAAATTGCTTTCCCTGTCATCTACCTGTTTCCCAATACTTTCAGTCACTTTCAGCATAYAAATATTTGTTTAGTAAAGTGAGTGATTGTATTATGTAATTTTTAATGTGTAATTTAAGAATATTTTGTCATGACTTTTAGTCAGTATTGGAAGATCAAACACCCTTTCTAAAGAGCATCTGTGAAAAACTGAAGTAGGAGAGGAGGATGGCACTGTGCATCTTGGAAGATGATCTCATGTCAGTTTTAATGTGTAAACACATTTTAGCAGTAAAAAGTGCATTTTGGTGTGGTTTCATTTTTCTTTTAGCATAATTAAAGATAAAAGATAGGAAATGAGAGGGTTCCATCTAATAACAACAGCTTTATGAAACCTTGTCCAATATTTTATGGCTGCTTTGTCCAGTCTTTATAGATCTAGACAGAGACAGCTACATTTTGTGGCTGAACTGAGAAATTACCAAACTATAACTTCTATTTTAACCATGGCCCTCATGAATGATATATTACAGAATTATACAGCATGTTGTTTGGCAAGTCAGAAAATAACAGTACATTCAGCAAGACTTAATTGGTCAGTCATATTGAATCACAGAATATTCTAGAAAAGGATTGCCAGGGATTATCCAGCTCTTAAGTGAATGKCCAATATGGGGCTCAAACCCACAACATTGGTGKTGTTAGCTGTTGGTTACCATGCTGTAATCAACTGAGCTCATCCCAATTCATGCTTTYAATCAAGTGGAAATACCACAGAGGAATTACCGATCACAGTTTTACATGGTAAAATCCACATATTGGCAATGTATAACAATCCCTTGGAAAAGATGTTTTCTGTTGTTCTTTATTGGTCATGGCCTGACAAATACGTTTTATCAGCTACACACTAATATGAATAAATCATACACGATTYAAGTAATCTGGAATTATTTCAGTCTATCCTTAACTTTCATTCAATTACATTAATAATGCGAAAAATTAGGTCAAGTGTATTGATCATGTGGAGAACCTCTGTCACAGTGAAGTATTCACAGAATTCAGCAGTGCCTACAAGTAACTATAGCAAATTTGGACATAATTTCTCATGGATGCCAAATCCTAAATTTCATGATTACTAATCCCAGCACAACTTTTCCATTTGCATTGGTATCACTGACATCAGAGACTGCCAATTAGTCCAGGTTTTTCAACAAAGGAGCAAAGCAAAAATCTGAATGCTGTTCACAGAAGATGAATATGAGCTGAACATGAAGCAGTGTATGCCCAGCTGGCCAAGAAGGCCAGGAGCATCCTGGTCTGCATGAGAAACAGCGCGGCCAGCAGGAGCAGGGCAGGGATGGTCCCCTGCACTCCACACTGACAAGGCCTCTCCTCGAATGCTGTGTTCCCTTCTGGGCCCATCACTTTGAAAGGGAAATTGAGGTGCAGCAGTGAGTTCAGTGAAGGGCAACAAGGCTAAAGAAGGGTCTAGAAAATATGTCCTGTGAGGAAYAGCTGAGGGAGCTGTGCTTGTTTAGCTCAGGAGGGATCTCACTGCTCTCTACAACTACCTGAATGAGGCTGGAGTAAGAAGGGATTTGGTCTCTTCTGCCCTGCCTGCAGTGAAAAAACAAGAGGAACCGGCCTAAAGCTGAGATGGAGGATATTCAGATTAGRTATCAGGTTTTTTTTTTTCACTGTTAGTGTTGTCGGCACTGGAATAGGTTGCCCAGGGATGTGGTGGAGTCACCATCCCTGGATCTGGTGCTGGGTGACAAGGTATAGTGGTTTGGGGGTTATAGTGACAATGCTGGGTTGCATTGCACTTGATGATCTTAAAGGTCTCTTCCAACCTTGCTGATCCAACGAAGTTGCATTACTCCCGATGCTGTGGCCAAACGGAATTACAGCATGCAGAGATGGACACTGTAATGTATTACAGGGCACCGCCAGGTTTACCTGCATTTCTTTTCTGAAMACATTCGCCCCCGGTAACACCTAAACGCCCTCAGCGCCTGTGCCGTGACGCCACTCGAGCCGCTCTGGGCTCGGCCGCCTCTGCCGGGGCCCGCCAGGGGGCGCTGCGCGGGCAGCCCGCCCCGAGCCGCCCGCCGCCGTCACGTGGGCGGAAGCGGCGGTCGGAGGAGCTGCGTCCCTGCCCAGAGATCCCTGCCCGGCGCTTCCCGGCCCGGCGCTTCCCTGCCCGGCGCTCCCTGCCCGGCGATCCCTGCCCGGCGCTTCCCGGCCCGGCGCTTCCCGTCCCGGCGCTTCCCGGCCCGGCGATCCCTGCCCGGCGATCCCTGCCCGGCGCTTCCCGGCCCGGCGCTCTCTGCCCGGCGCTTCCCGGCCCGGCGATCCCGGCCCTGTCCCGGCGCCGCGGTGAGAGCCAGGCAGCCCCGGCACTCCTCCCCTTCCCCCGTCCGAGTGCGGGGTTCCCGCGGTGCTCCGCGGGCCGGCTCGGGRCGGGGCGGTGGCGGGAGCGGGTCCGGAGCCGCTTGTGCGGGACTCGCTGGTGGGAGGCGGTGAAGCGGTGTCAGACGGGCCCTTGGGAGGCCGTCGCTGCTCAGGTAGCTCTTCCGAGTTTTCCCGTTAAATGATTGATCTTTTGATTTCTTGCTGGGGATGCTGTGGTTGGGCTGCGCCCTTTTATTACATTCTAACCCGGTAGGATGCAGGAGCAGCGTGTTTTCCTGTTTGCACCCTGAGAGAGGCCAGGCAGTGCTGAGTAGCCTTATCACACTGCTGTGCCCCATCTGGCCTGTATTTCCAGGCWAGCCTCGTCTGCGATGTGATGTCTGACAGATTTCACGTAACCTTTATCTGGAATATTGCAGGGAAGAACGCAGCAATGTCTAAAGGGATTTATCTTGAGTCTGGTGTGGTCTCTGCTTTCTTGAAGCCTTTTTTTTCTGAGGAAGGAGCTTTATTTCCAGCTCCTTGGGTTAAATTCTGCATTCCTTGAGACATCTGGATTCAAGTGTGAAAAGCTTAATTTTGTGCTTRGTCCTGGCACACTGTGAGGGGTTTGGTGGTTGTGACTGAAGCAAGTGAGTTTGTAACAGAAGTTGAACAGAAGTATGTGAGAGCCAGTGTTAAATCTCGGATTTATCATGTTATGGGAAAGGTGTATCTTGCAACCTCTATTAGCACTGAAATGGGAGAGTTAGGAATTTATGGCAGTTTGATCATGACTTAGAGCAGAAAATAAAATCCTAATTAAGGAAGGAAAGGGGATGTTTCTGAAATGCAGCAGATTATTGGTATTTTGTGTGTTCATCTTACTCACATCTTGAAGAGTTACAGGAATGGCAGCCTGGTACAGTTTGGGAAGGAAAAGGTGGGGCCAGCATTTCATGGAGAAGAAAAATTATTAGCAGCTGTGGAGTGGTAAATTGCCATAGGGTGTCATATAAACAGGGTGCTCTGAACTATGTGCACTTGACAATACTGTTTCCACCTTGGCATGGTGGTCCCTGTTTTCCCAAAGTTGTTGAGTTACTAATTAAAATGGCTGTAGTAATTGCCCCAGCTTTTGTCTTTGTGAGTTTATCAGAGAAAGCAACTCGGGCATCTTCAAGATAACAAGCCAACCTAAAATTTAACTCCATATGTTGTCTCGGTATCAAACAGTATAGTGTGTCATGGGTATTAATCATGTTTTAATAAAAACACTGAAATATGATCTCCAATGTGTTGTTGTGTTTACAT